ATGGATTGTGTCTTGCATGACGAATTTCGTTTTGCGTCGCGAATTGCGTCTTGCGTCACGAGTTGCGTCTTGCGTCACGAGTTGCGTCTTGCGTCAACGCGTCAAATTTATGATTTGTGACGCAATGTTCAATTTTCTAGATTTTTAATTGCGTCTGACGCAATTTAATAATTTTGACCACATGTATAATCATTACGCTTATTTATACACTTATTACTAAAGATTCCTAGATTATCTATCATTACAATATTTAGAAATTCCATATTTGGTAATGACCCTGACTGTATTTTGATTATATCAAGAGATATGGGGCATGGAAAATAGAAACAGCCCTAACTACGGTTGGCTCGGTCTAAAGACCTCATATTGCTGTTCCATGCGGCCAAATTTCAAAATAGCAATTTTGTAATTCAAGAGCTAGTCTAAATTTGATGATATTCTTCCTAAATTTAGAAATGATCATAGTGGACAAATTCCTCGCGAGATAGTAAAGTACATGTTTTAAAAAAGAATAGAACTCTACAACAAATAATTTTTTTGAGAAAACCTCTCTATTACATTAAAACTAAAGACATATTCTATCAACTAATAGAGCTATTTTTTTAAAAGGTAGGACAGAAAGTGACTTCTATACTTTTAAAATTTGCCTAAAATTTAGGAGGTCTTTAGACCAAGCCAATTATACAAAATCTCAATTTTGAGTTAATAACATTCTTATATGCAATTCTTTACAAGGGTTAATTTTAGCTTAGGAACTATACCTACTTTGATTAGTAAAGTTTGAGATATTTAAATGAACTTGGAAAATCATATAAGAATTCTTTATTATTTCAGCAACATTTTTATCAATCACCATTTTAGTATTCCATTGAGGCATCCTTTTAATATTGCCATAAACTCTTGCTAAAATAGCATTGTTACCAAGTGATTTTTGATATTTTCAAATAATCATTAAAAATCTTGTCTTTCCAATACCACTGGCCCCTCCTATCACTGGAATTATAAGACTCTTTTTGTAGTCATACATTGGATATGCACCTTTTGTGTGGTATTTTTGCCAAATTTCAAATGCCTTCTGTACCAATTCCCTGTATAATCTCATCTGTTCCTCATGTTCAACAAATTTGAATCTATTTCCAACTTCTTTTACAGTAGTAACAGTTGATGTAGTAGATGATCTGTTCTCACTTGAAACATGTGGTGGAGTTGAATAGGGTGGATTCACAATGGACTTTATTTTCTCTATTATATCTAGAAATAAATTGTAAATGATAATAATAGTTAGACCATAGAAGAAAAAGTGATTTGAAATTGATAAGTTACCTTCAATATCCATTTCTTCATCAATTTCTTTTTTCTTTTTTCCTAAAAAGAACAATGAAGTGAATAAAGGACAAACAAATACTCTCAAATAAATAAGTAAATGAAATGGAATGAATGAAAAATAATTTTTTATGTATTTTTTTCTTTACATAATTTATTCATTACCAAATCTTCTATGTATTGCCTCTTGGCACAGCGCCTTCCAACTTTCCTTTGACTTTGCCAACTCGTTTTTCTCTTTTGCCAACTTGTTTTCTAAATTGTTTTTCTCTTTTTCTAAATCTTCCTTCTCCTTTGTCCACATCTTTTTTTTTTCTTCATCATCATCATACTCCTTCCTTGACAATTTTTTCTTCAACTCATTCAACCTATCTCCCCACTTTTCTTCCCACTCCCTCTTTTCTTCTTCATATTTTCTTTTTGCTTCTTCATATTCTCTTTTTGTTTCTTCGTATTTTCTTTTTGTTTTTTTCATATACTCTTTCCGCCTTTTCTATATTTGCCATTTTGTTAAAAAAAAAAGTTAAAATTAATTTTTTTAAAAAAAAATTTTTTTAGATTGTAATTGTTACAATTAGTGGCACATGACTTAGAAATTAACAAAAGAAAATCATTTTTATTCAACCAATATAAAAATATAAGTTAAAAATTGTCAGAGCACTTGCATGAAAATACTTGGGCCCAAAGCCATTATGAGTATTTATTTTGAAAATATAAAGAACAAATTTTTTTTAATGTTAACATAAGAAATCAACAAAAACAATCCAATGCAACATTCAATCTCTATTTCAGGGTTAATTGTTGATTTTTTTGGATTTTTTTTTAATATCTTTTTTTGGCAATTTTATCTATAAAAAGGAATTTGCAGTTTCACAAAGTTTGTTGCATTGTGATTATGCTCTCTATGATCATGACAGGAAGGGAGGAGAGAAGTCAACATGGGGGTCTGTATCATTTCATCAACAATCATTTCATCGACATTTCATTTCACCAACAACACCCAACATAACATTTACTTCAATAAAATTGTTAATAATATGTGCCCACACACGAAATCATCACCCCTGTGTTGTCAATGAAATGAACGCCACCCAAGCAAGGTTATTTTTTCAATAGTTGGAATACTAAAATCAGTAAAAACAAATTGCATCACTTGATTTCATCAGAAATCGAATGGAATTTGCACCAAACAGATCCACAACCTTCCTCCAATGATGCTGTTGATAAAGCTACAAAGAATTAGAAGTAATTGAAAACAGCCATGACAAAAAAACAGATTCTAACAAAAAAAGAAAAACCAAAAATCCACCAATTGCCACCACTCCTATTTTCACACTCACACCACCTTCCACTTCTGCATCCACCCCCACCTCTGCATCCACCCCCACATCAAATTTCGTGGATCTTTTAAATGATGTCAAAGAATAAAAATCATCAATAAACTACACTTTTTTAATTTTTTAATGTTTTATCCTTCTGCTCAATTGTCAACCATTATGAGGTGAGAATGATCTTGACAAGTATAAATAATAATTGATCTACTGGTCCAAGTAATCTAAAAAAAAACTATTTTTGACAAATATACAAAAAAAAATTTTTTTGTTTTTTCTTATGTCTAAAAAACATAACATACAACATTTCAAAATTTTAAATTCTTTTCAGGAGGATAACAAACATTCCGATTCTAGCCTTTCCAAAGAACCTAGCATTGACTTTTCCCTTTTCAATTCCTACATTCAATGTGATGAGATCAACAAAAATCTATCAAATGCACCCATTGTTACCACTATTAACAACCTTGATAATCCAACTATCGTTGAATAATTTCCACCCTGGACCTCCACCTCAAATCTCCAATGTCTGTTAAATGAATTTGAGACCAAAATATTATATGACTATCCAAATGCACCATGTGCCTATTGTTCAATGCTTATGATGAGATCATCTATTAAATGGATACCCTATGATCCAAAATGATCCAAATGAATCCTAACATTAACTTCAGCTTTCCCCAATACAGACCTATATCTGCACACAAATAATAGAAATGTCATCCAAGTGGTCACCTGCAATGGATGACAATTATAATCATTTTAAGAGCTTGTGGCCCTTGTATCTATGACAAATCTAACACTAGGCTTTTGCTCCTTTCAGAGACCACAAAAAAGGCCAGTTATTTCCACAGCCACTGGGCAAGGAGAAAAACTTTGTACAAGTAATTTGTAATTAAGCTGAGTGGTTGTTTCCAAGCAAAAACAAAAAAATTCAACTCACATATAAGAAGCAAAAATTGGAAGAAATCAATAATGATAATTCATCAACATCAATATCAATTTCACCCCACACCTGTTAGAAGTAAAAGGGGCATGGAAATTAATGAAAAGATTCAACAAAAAATATGTGATGTTTCAAAATCAAGTGTATCTGTGAACCATCTGCAAGAACAAACCAAATCAATCAACATTTACAAAAGGCAAAGCGCCTGAGTATTAATATAATGATGTTGAAGGTAAGTTGAGAATGGCCATAGATCCTAATGAAACCAGAGAATGAGCTAAAAACTGTAAAAGAATTTGATTTGATAACATTACCATCAAAGAGATGTTAGAAGGGTTTATTGATTATTCAAATGACTTAGCTTCATAATATGCAGGAAGTTGGTCAAAATCAGTGATTTAAATTCCCAAAAGTTTGAACAAAAGCAGGAATATGAAGAAAAGTTAAAAGAAAAGGAGAAACAGATTAAAGAATTGGAAGAAGCATTAGAATTAGAGGAGGAAATATCTGAATGTCATTTAGATGCCAAATTGGCTAGACAGTGGAGAATAAGGCAAAACAAAGAAAAAGATGTCAACTTAGAAAAAGCTTCTAGGCAAATAGAGTTGTTGGAAAAAATTGTGGCATGACAGAAATATTTGGCAGACAAGCAGCTTCAAGAACTACCAGTTTTACCAAAGAAAGAAAACAAATT